TTCCCACAGTTTCTTTCATGGAAAGAGGCACTGACAGAATAAAGAAGAGCTCCTTGAGAGCAGACTCTCTTATCAGCCTCCAACATCTGGCCAAGACTGATGGGCTCTTGAATAGCTCTTCAAATATCATTGAGTTTGAGCTGCATAATGCTTGTTTAACTGCATCCTTCCTACAATACTAATTCACCCCCTCTCATTATGTGTCTTTCACCAGAGGAACCCATTTCTATGATTACTGAAATTAGTTCCCCAGCAGGGTAGGATTGATGTGAGGCAGTATACTAAAGGGTAGGAAAAAAAGACAGATTGAAAGGTGAGTTAAGTCATGTGTGAGCAAAAAGAAATTAAATATGCTGTGACCAGCCGCGATCATACATTACAAGTCGGAAAAACATTGAATCTGCAAGCCGTTAAGTGTTTAAATCTTTGACATGAAAAGCAATTTTCTCTGAAATGCAAACCATTTTTTTGCAGGAAAATGAGTGTTGCTAAATTGAAGTCATCATTGCTGATTTAAAACGTATGGCCTTGATGCATTGCAGCCAATTAGATTAAAGCTCCAAGGTAATCTGCACCAGATTTAAGAATTTATCCAAACACCTGGTTCAGTATCTGCAAGTCGCTGAGTGCCAAGCCTCTGATCATACAGGAGGAGGGTCTGAGCAGATGTGTCACACACTGAGCCAGTTTTGTTTCTGTCACAACAGCACGACATGAGCGCGATGGGCCAATCAATTACGCTCACGTTTTGTTTCCTCTCGATCGCAGGAGAATCGTTGCATTATCAACAAGCACCGTTTTATTGGGATCATGAAGGAATTATCTCACAACATAACGAGTAAAATGTCTTTCTTTTGCGACGAGACCTGCAGTGCTTTTGTTTTACTTGTTGTTTTCCTTTTTGCCAATTCCTCCCCTTCGTCCCCCCTCGTCTGTAAAGGCCACATCCCCGTGTAACCCAGAACATGCTGAGCCAGCTCCCACTGTTCACCTGGGGAGGGTGTCGACGGCCATGTGCAGTCTCCGATACACATGGAGTCACCAGCTGCTTCTTTTGACCTGACAGCGAGGAGATTTACAGCCCATGCAGAGGTTCCGAGTATCTCCTGCAGATGCACACATCTCCGCACAGATGCGCTTATCAACCAGAAGGAGTCACCGGCGCAGGTACGGGTTTTATGGCGCTGGAGCCGCGGTTTAAACCTGAGCATTAGCTACTGAGCATTTTTACACGACCCAGATGCTGACCAGTGTTATATTTCAGCAGGAATGTGGGCTTTTTGCTTTACAAGGCACATTTTGCTACCTTATTACACTAAAATAAAAAGGAACCTAAAGCCTGATCCTGAAAAAAAATCAACTCTTCAGTCAGCTGAGACAGTTACACAAAAACATGATTTGTTTTTTGAATGGAATGTTTCACCAATATTTGCTTTTTTTCTTACGCAAGACTTTGTCTCTTTGGACCACAAATATATTCACATGAAGGGAATCGAATAGTTGTTGTTATCGCTGAGGCATTTTGTCAGTTTGATGGTTTATTTGACAATGTGGAGAAGCAGGAAACATGGGGAGGGAGAGGGGTATAACAGGCAACACGGGTTCTGTACTGGAACAGTCTGGTCACTGAGACACTCATATGTTCACATTCATTTAATAACCTCTGATTTTGACAAGGGGCTGCAAGGTGGGGCAGTGGTTAGCACCATTGCCTGGCAGCAAGAAGGTCGCCGGTTCGCGTCCCAGTGAGGACACCCGGGATCTTTCTGTATGGAGTTTGCATGTTCTCCCCGTGCAGCGTGGGTTCTCTCCGGGTTCTCCAACTTCCTCCCACACAGTCCAAAAACATGTTGAGGTTAATTGGTGATTCTAAATTGTCCATAGGTGTGAATGTGAGTGTGCTTGGTTGTCTGTCTAAGTGTAGCCCTGTGATAGACTGGTGACCTGTCCAGGGTGTCCCCTGCCTTCACCCTAAGTCGACTGGGACAGACTCCAATACCCCCGCGATGGATGGATGGATGGATGGATGGATGGATGGATGGGTTCGCCATTTAGTCGTTGCTTTATTTTAGAGACTCACAACTAGTGCTGAAACTGGTTGGGTGAGTGTTGGAGTCCCACTGCTTTAAATTACTGTACAGAAATATTTTCAGTTGTCGTTCTCCAACACTCTGAAGAGCAGCAGCTTCTGTGCAACATGTTTAAACTTGATGATCTGGACTGACCTCCTACAGATTTGTGTCCACTGGAAAAAAGAAAATGTTCTGCCAAAGTCTGTTATTGCTTAAAAAGCACACAGTTCCACAGTAGCAGCAATAGCAGCTTATTTCTGGTGCTGGGTATGAGTGCTGGCATAGATCAAACAAAAGCAAATATGTATAGATATATATATATGGCTTATCTAACAGAGAGCAAGGGCAATTATCAACTGCAAAATCTCAGGACTTATTGTAGTCTTTATTCTCTTATAAGCACATTGAAGGAATTGTTAGCAAAAACATTTGGGTTTTATATAAAAGTCAAGTGTAGATAATCCTGCCCTCAAAACTCCAGTATCAGCCAGGCTGTAGTCACAAAACCAAAACCTTTGGGAATTCCTGACATGAGGCAATCTGTTGCTGAAAAAACCCTGAAAAACCCTCCCACCTGCTGATTATCGATGATTACCGCAGCACACATGCTCACGCGTCAAGATTATTTTGTGATCATGGCACAACATGACCCTCCTGTGTCAACATGACATATTAATAAAAGTTACAGTTTCTTGCTTGTTTGCTCACGTATCCTCAAAGAAGTAAAGATTGCTTCCTGTTGTGTTGAGAGGAGAAGGCAGGGAGCAAATGAATAACTCTTGCTGGTGAGGCTGGCGCTGCTCTGAGCTATAGGCTATGAATCATTGTCATCATGAGATAAAAAGCAACATCTTTTCATCTGTTTTTCAGTCTTTTCATTACGCCTGCTTGAGTAACACTCCTGTGAGTGTGTTTTAAAATCTAAAAGGCATATCATTATTTGTTTTCAAATAGATCATATCTGTGAATTTTTGCACTTGTCACAGAATGGAGTTCCTGCAGAGGCTGAGCCTGGAGGATAATGCAGCGTGGCCAAAATGTCCTAATTGAAAATAATGCAGTGCAATCATCATCATTTAATATCAATTACATCAAGGCCTTATCTCAAATGCTTGGGCTCCCCTTGTAGCGAATAATGCTTTTTTTTTTCTCTCCTTTCTTTATGCTTTTGTTTGAAATGATGCATTATTAGCTTTGTTCATGCAGAGAATCAGCATGAACTGTAAATGACCAATTAACTGGCTCCTTTGGTATTCTTTCAATTAACCGTCTCATATTGTATTTAAGCAAACTGGCCTCTCGTTTCCACTCAAACTATCATCAGTGTTTCCGATCAAGGGTGTGATGTGATGGGAGTTTGTGGAAATAGCCGACCGGAGAAGTCAGAAGGTCACAGTTTGACATTGCTCATTATGACTTCAGCCACAGAGGTCAAGCAGCCAACATCCCACCACTCTGACACGGAGGCTGCGGTGGCCAGAGGATCAATGTGATGTCATCGCAGATTCATCCCCAGAGAGCCAGTGAGCTGTGGGAATAGGTATCAACTCTGACCCTGTTTGGAAAGGAAATCTCCCCCTGTGACGACGAGGTCATAGCACATCATTACTTGATTGACGTGGTTGATTAACAGCACAGCTTCAAACACACAAACCCAGTCACACTCGTGTAATTCATATTTGAAATGTCAGTGTGGAGAATGATCAGAGTCATCCATCATCCTAATTTCTCAGGTCGTGCACATTATCATTTCCTGTTCGCTCACTGTACTTACACTGTACATCCCTGTTTCAATCTATTACTGTATTGTTTATTTGCTGCTGGGGCTTTTATCACTAGCAGAGCCCTCAGCCAGTTGTTTTTCCTCTAACATCAGATTACACGGCATTGCTGCCTTTTAATGCTAAAAAAAAAAGTTGAAAACAGGACACGCAGTCTATGTTAATGGGAACTCAGTGCATTGCAATATCAATAGCTGAAGCCTCAGCCATTTGCAATGCAATTAAAAACTCAATTTTCAAAGCGCTTTGGTGAGGGTGATAAATGGGCCAGTAATCCCTTAATTGTTCTCTCTTAAGCAGAATCACAGGAATGATAGATGTTTCATTAGAGGAGGGGCAAAACTTCAAGTAAATAAAATCACATGCAGAGTGTACAGAGTTTATTATCACCAAACCTCCAAAGAAATGCATATTTTATATAAACATAGTTTAGACTTCCAGTTATTGTTGTTTTCTTTCAGCTTTTTGGGATCATTTTCAGAACCATGGACAGTTCTGTTGGCTTCTCTTAACTTTTCATCATTTATTGTTTTTTTTTCCTTTTTTCTGCATTCTAGCCTTGAAAAAGACAAAGACTAAAGAACTGACTAAGAACACACAACTTGTTCAGTATATGATACAAACGCAGTTTCTCTGAGGATCCTTGAAACGCAGCAGCAGCAGCAGCCACAGCTGGAAGTGGCCAAGCCATTCACAATCATTGGCCACCCGAGATTGCAGTGTTTTTATTGATTCGGCCAACACTAGGCTAATATTGACAAGTACTGCGCTTATTCCAAGCTGTCGTAATCCGGCGAGTTGAGGCTTTTTAATTTAACGTCAGATCAAGTTTGACCAAGATTGGCCCGCCGCGACGGGTCCAATCGGAGTTCAGATCAGCTCCCTCCTCTCCCACCAGCCCCCATCTCTGCCTCTCTCTCGCTCTCTGCCTCCCTCTCTCTCTCCCTCCCTCTCTCTCTCCATCTATCTCTCTTTCTTAGTTGCAAAAAATTCTCTGCAGCTGGGCTGCACCTCAATGAATGAATTGGTGCACTGTGAGCGACTATCATCTATCCACTGGATTTCCATTGCACCCGGCTTTCATCCAGAACATATGAATTTGCTTAGACAGACCCTTTTGAGGAGTTGAACAGATAGGTCGGAGAAAATGGCACAACGCGTGGTTTTCTTCCTCCTGTGGCTCTTTGACCGCTCATTCGCAGGATTTCCCAATCAGATTAATATCGGTAAGTGTGTTTGCTGTGTGAAACAGCTGCAGATTTCGGTTTTGTACGGACAAACGAAATGCAAGATTGCAATTTTATACCGGATACGGCGCGCGGAGCTCTGCGCAATGATAGAGACTAACTTGATTTTTTTCCAAATGCTGCCAGCTCAAAGGCGCTGATTATTGAGAACTGAAATACAGCTTCTGTTAACTGTGTCATTGTGATCAGTGCAGAGGAATAAGTGTCGTTCTGATAAGGAGGACGGGAGACGGTCAGGTTCCCCCGCTCGATCCGAGGAGTTACATACATGCGCGCCGGTCAAAAAATGCATGACAGTTATTCTTTCAAATTGCATTTAGCTGCTTAATAACACCACAGAGTTCTTCGTCATGTCATAAAATAAAAGCCAAAGCTGACACTAGACTGGCTGCGAGTGTGAAAGCGCTGTCTGATCTTGGTTTTCATCTCTTCAAGGGGGACTGTTCATGCGTTCCACGGTGCAGGAGCACAGCGCGTTCAGGTTCGCTGTCCAACTCTACAACACCAACCAAAACACCACTGAAAAGCCTTTCCACCTCAACTACAATGTCGACAACCTCGAGTCGTCCAACAGCTTCTCGGTCACCCATGCATGTAAGTGTGCTTCTTCGTCCAGATTCCCACTACTTCTGTCCACCAGGAAAGAGCAAGAATTATTAATGTCAAACTCATATGGAGCTTATAGAGGCTCCAGCTCAATGCAGACAAGTTCTCACTGGACTCAGATTCATCAAATCTCAATGGGAATTAAAGAAACAACAGTTTTTTTCCTAATATATGCAGTGTTTTTTCTTGCAAGTCATCCTAGATGTTTGAGTTTTTAGCACAAAAATGTAGAAATTCCATTGAATGTTTTTATTTATTCAGGTGAACATTTTTAATAGCAGATAGAGTCACTGCTGTTCCAACATTCACGGCACTGCTGCCTGTCCGGGTTTTACAGAGGTGGTATGTGCAGATACATGAATTCCACATTTCCCTTGGCAACATGCAGCAAACATGCTACCAATTACACAAACCCGGTGTCAAGGACTCAGCCATGAAGGAGTTCATACAGCCTGTTGTAGTCTGCAACGTAATGCTATGCAGCCAGTGGATTTTCAAACTGAATCTATGTTTAGTAAATACCTTTAATTTCACCACTCAAGTGATTCACTAATCAAGAAGAAATTATACAAAATGATAATTTATGGTGTGTCGTTGTTTTCTCCATGCTTTTGTGCTGTTGTGTGGATATGTTCATCCCGTGGTGCAACTGGTGTAAGTTTGCTTTGGAGCTGATGTTGCAAAAAAAAAAAAGAAAGAAACCCTTTTTTTTCCAATGCTCCTCTTGGCTGCAGTTTCTTGAAATCAGCAGAAACAGAGAACGAAAATGGACAAAATGGGAAGAAATGGACTCGAGAGTGCCATTTTGTGATGTCATTTTAAATGATGAGTTCAGTTTGGCTGAATGGCCGACTTTGTAGGCTCACAGCTCTGTGTGACTGGGGCGGCTGCGTCCCTCTAACCCCTGTGTGGCATGGTCATAATGGCCCCTCTGACTCTCCATGTGCCAGAGCGTCTCCGCCTGCTCCGTCCTCTGACTCCCCCTGTGTTACAGAGCATCTCCCCCAGCATTGCAGAGTCAGCTCATTAGCACTCAGCCCTCATAGCACCTCACCGTGCTGTCATTGGGTGAAAGGGGAAAAAAAAAATCCATAGCTCCCCAACCAACGCCAGCAAATGAGTTGGGCTCAGACCTGCAGAGGAGGTGGGTCTGAGCGGTGAGGGAGATGAAGCAGAGCATCGTATCAAGGCAGCAGAGCTGCAAGTGCCTTAACGAAGGCGTCCATAAGAAACAATAAGCAAATGAGAGTGAATAAATAATAGATAGCGCCGTGCAATTTCACGCATGTTGAAGAGGAAGGGAAGCATAGGAGAAAAAGGCTTGATATCAGAATCTAATTAAATTCAGGGGCAGACAGAGCTTTAGCAAAAAGAAGTGGTTCCTCTGGGAGGCGTGACCCCGTTTCTTGTTTCTTGCTGCCATGTCTCAGCATCTCCATCATGAGTACTGTCTCAATACTGCAATAAACTTTGAACAGGAAAACTGTGAACCTTTAATGCTGCAACGAAACTAATATAAAAATAGGAGTGCGATCGTCAAATGTCATTGCAATGTTGGTGCTCTGATGTGCATATTAATCAGCTGCTCTGGTGGAAGGTTCACCTGCTCCACTGCACAAACAGAAGTTTATACTTAACACACTAAAAGCCTCCTTCTTAACTATATGATAATCAGCAAACTTTGAGCTTTTCCTAAAGACGCAGCTTTCGTTTGAATCTGATTTGTCTAATGTGTGATCCAAGACTTTTGTCAAGTGAGTGCCCAGAGACTGTTGTCAAGCTGAGCCCGCAAACGGCAGACAGCTCATGCTGAGCTCACAACAGTCCACAAGCACCTCGGATTGTCTCTACCAATGTAGTGAGCGAAATAGAGATGACGGTTATTAAAAATCACTTATCTGCTGACTTCCAGGCCTTGGAGACTTTGCCTCCAGTGAGCGAAGACCTCCTGTACTCCGAGTTTTACATTTGTCAGCGCTGTTGTTTGTTCTGCAAGCTGTCACAATTATTTAGTGGACATTCAAATTCCCTGTGTCATCAATAGCCTCATGTGAATGACTCAGACCTTTGTCAGCAGTAGCGCACGTCTTACTTTATGGTTGGACAAGGTTTTACAAAAGTGGCATTTATGTGAGTTTGGGGGGTACATCTATTTTGAGACAGCCTTCACCGCTTTGATTAAGATGAGATCTGGCTTCTTCTTTTGTGTGTTATACTGCTTCAGTGTGCATTCTCGCTTTGCTCTGGGACAGCTAGTGCGAAAGCCCTCTACTGTGACTCATCATAAAGATCACTCCCCCTCATTTGCTGTACATCCTTTAAATATATAATATAACACTGAGAGAGAGAGAGAGAGCACCCTCAAAGGCGTGCATACAGTCAAATAAACTTCAGTTTATGTGGCTTTTTAGAAACAAAATGTGGAAATCCTCCCGGCATAATGAAGCCGCAGCCTTGTGTCGGAACAATTTCTTTCAAGTCAGTTTAAAGCCGCATGCTATTAATTGAATTAGTGACCGTCAGGAAAACAATGCATGGCTTCAGTAATCCTTAAGGCTCGGCTTTGTAGTGCAGCAGCATGGTATGTGCTTTGGTGGCAAGACTGTTGTTGCTTTGAAGTGACATCAGAAATCGTGAAATGTGTAATTACCAGTGCAGGGTCCGTAATAGCTATGGAAGCTAGGAGTCAGGTATACTCACCGAGAAGGCAGGAGCAGTTCAAAGCAAAGGCTACCAGTTTGAAGAGAGCAGAGCAGACAGCATTAATGTTCCTGATGGTCACGGCTAGCCAACTTAATGACACTATCATCCTTTTCTCTCCTGTTTACCCTTCTTCTTCTTCTTCCTTTACCTGAGGCGAAAAAAACATCAAGCCCCCCTCTGCCTTCCCTTGCCACGCTATTTATTAGATTACTCGCCTTGATTCCTGTTAAAGGCAAATTTTGCACTGCTTGGCTTTTGAATCTCATCTCACTATTCCTCATTCCTCATTCTGTCATTAAGCTAATGGTCTGTGTCCCCTCTGCCAGCCTTTTTACATGTGCCTACCCCTCTTTTATTGAATCCTCCAGGTTCTTAAACTCTGGCAGTAGCAGATGCTTCTTTGGCTACACTGTTCAGCACCCTTCTCCCGCCGTTGTTGGCTGTAGAAAAAGCTGCTTCACTCCAAGGGAACGGGAAAGAGCACAGGAAAAAAAAAAACAAGACACTGTGACTGCATTTGTCTTTCCCAATTGCAAGGAAGGGGAAAAGGACATGGGAGACAAGCAGAATAACTCTGAGATGCGATGTGTCTTACTGGAAATGCAAGACACTGGGGGTAAAGGAATAGTATGAGATTTTGGGAAACATAGTTTTCTTGCCAAAGAGTTTGAAGAGAAGATTAATACTGCACTCACATCTGTGGGAAGCTGGAGTAAGCAGCCAGGTAGCTTAGCTTAGCATAAAGACTGTGCTGGAATATTTATTGGGCACCAACCAGCTGAGACTGCAAGAATTTACTGGTCCCAGCCAAGAAATGGTCCAGTGCATAAGTCCAGGGATGAAACAGCAATTTCAGACTTTAGGTTTTTGTACGAATTACACAACCATAATGTGTGTTAATTACTGGGCTTTAGAGATGCAGGAAGGTGGATTTTGTTACCTTTGGGCAGAGCCAGTCTAGCTGTTGCCCCCCTGTTTCCAGTCTTTGTGCCAAGCTGAGCTAACTGGCTGCTGGCTCCAGCTACAACACAAGGATGATATAAATCTTTTCTTCTCTCATTTGGCAGAAGGGAATAGCTGTTGACTTATGTGATGCTAGGAATTCCATACTGCAGCATTAATATTGTCATCTACAAAATTAATTACTGTCACCGCATGCTGTTTGTGCGTTGCACTCTGACTCAATGTTATATTGCACATAATGCAGGCTGATAATATGTGAGCAGCGTCGTCGAGATCACACCGCGTGGATCAGGGAGGGCGTGGAACTCTATTAAGACACGTGGCATTTTTAATTTTACAGCCAGGAAGAAAACTCCAACAGATGCTTGCATTTGTACAGATGAGGGATATCAGTGGCAGTGATTAGGATTATCAGAGCCACTCAAGAACACAGTGCTCAAGCCTAATTTTTGTCTAGCCGCTTTCTTTCAAACATCATATTTACTGACCTTTACGCCCACCCAGATTGCTAACTCTGCACATGTTGCTGAGAAACACCAACAGCCTCTTTACACCGGCGGCCTACACTATGACTGAGCACATGTGGCAAATGGCATATGTTGGGAAGCACAGACGAAAGGGCCCTTACAAAGTCTTCGCATGTATTGTTGAGTATAGCTTTTGGGGCTGTTGTTGTTGTGGTGGTGGTGGTGTGTGAATGGATGGTAAACAAAGCGACAGGGAGACATGTTTTCGCAGTGCTTGTCCTGACAGAGACAGGCTATGGTCGAGAGAAGCTCCTCAGGTGATTGTAGTGGTGCCACAGTTCTTGTTCTTGCAGGCTGTAACTCAGCTTGAAAGGTGTGACGAGGGAAACATGGCAGGGGGAAGCTGGGAAAGGGAGGGAGTGGTGGGAGGATGGAGACGAAGACTGCAGTAAGAAAAAGCAAGGAGAAAAACAATTTGAGTTAGGATTTTTTTTTTTTTTTTTAGGGTTGCTTAGAGTATGTGTGTGCATGAGTCTATGACTGTGTTTGAGAGAGAAACGGAGAGAGAGAGACTTCTCCAGGCTATGGGGGGTTGTACCGGGACATGCCATCATAGTCCAGCTGTGTAGGAAGCACAGATGGAGGCTTGTTTATGGATGCACTGGCATGTGCATATGAACACGTGTGTGCACATATGCAGAGAGCTAAACACACATAGGTGCACGCGGCCACACATGCAGAGACAGACACATCCTCTCCACCTCCTCACATTTGTTACTGAGTAAATCTCAGCATTTCGTACTGAATGTCCCACGACACACTTCATCATTCATCCAAAGTAAAGGTCATGGTGCA